CATTTAAAAATGTGGTACTGCGTGCCTCGGAATTCGTCAAAAACTTACAGGATTTTTTGCCAGTTGTAAAAAAGTGTTGAATGTTTCATTCGAAAATATAACCATCTTCGGATTCCTATTCACCAAGATCTGATCCCAAATGTGAAGCTGGCCGCGACTTGTAACGGGTAGTCGCTTTAGAATTTAAAAAAGGTTTTTTTAATTTGTATTTTGTTCAGCATAGGAAAATTTACACCTTCATAGCGAACATGAACAACAGTATGTCTGGCTATAACAAAGCGTACATCTTCGATAAAGGTGTGCAACAAAGAAGTTTTTTTTTCGGATTTCCAAATGTAACGGTTGGTTACAGGCAAGCTCCTCAAGTTGGGTGACATCATTGGACAGCACATTGTACGACAGTTTGTCTACGACGGCATACGGCAGGGAATTTAAAGACAATTATCACCTTATTAAATGCCGCATACAAATTTCTATGGACTCCTACACAGCATAGGTTATACACCATATCTAAGAATATGATGGAATGCACAAAAACAAATAATGGAAAAGCGCTTGAATGTGAATACCGTATCAAAATTGAAATATTATTTACAGATTTAAACATGCTTTTGATACAATAAATTCATGGATCGAAATTACTTCTGCCGGAAGAGATGCTGTCTAATACAACAGTAAGGACAGAATACAGAGAAGCAGAAGAATTTATTATAAATAAGGATGTACGACAAGGGAATGCATTGTCCGCATAGCACTAACGCAAATACTAAAGAAAATAGACAAACGCGCAAGGTTGAGAACTAAAGGAGAGCAGAATATCTAGTCGTCATAAAGATAGCTCGATGTCCATTATTCCCTCGTGTATTTTTCATGGCTGTAAAATAATAAAATCGCCATGTGTGGAAAAATAAGCTCGATGTAAAATATGTAAATGTAGTTTTTTTTATTTATCTATTTAGGTGTTCCGAGATGGACAAAACCTTCTTCATTACTGCATTTACTGTGGTTTTTCTTTTTAATGTTAATGCCTCGATTTGATTAGATTAAAATGCGCTAAAATCCATGCCATTTTGCAAAACCGTTGAGTTAGGAATATTATTCAACGGTTTGCAATCACGTTGCACATGATCGATTCGTAGAAATTAATTATGACTAAATTTATTGATTGATTGAAATTAAGGCTTATGGTCGTAGATGAAGTGTTTTTTCTGTAAAGTATATTTTGTTTTCAATTTACGTAACTAATTGTTTCGAAACTATTTCCATTGTTAAGGTTCACTGAAAACTGACAGTTTAGTTAATGGTGACATAAATGGTGGATCAAATTGAAGACGCAGCAGCTTTTATCGTTAAATATGGTGGTATTACAACGAAATGGTCTGTAAAACCACACATGGATCGTTTGGAGGTTTAATGTGCAAACTTAAATCTGTTTACATGTTTTGTTATGATAATTTCCATTTTATTACCTGAAACATGTGTTACACGGGGCATTAAAGGATTCACTTTACAAAATTTAAAGTATGCCTGGAAAAGGAAGTCTAATGAGAAAATAAATAAATGAACTCTATTTTTTCAAGTATGGTTTTAATTTCGTGTTTCAAATTATTTATAATATCCTCAGATTATAAGATAAGGTGCAGGTGTAATTACAAACTTTAGTGGAAATTAACTGTAAAATAATTTCCCGTCATAAATTTTAAAGAGGGGGCGGGCGAAATAATTTTAGACAGTCTTCATCTTTAAAAGTTTACGAAAATTATACATTTTCTTACAGTCACAAGCAAAAGCACATCACTAAAACAATTTTATTAGGCAAAACAGCATTTAGTTCAAGAAACAACCACTTTAACTCATATCTACATTATCATCTCAAGGGAGAGATAAATTTTCTGTGTACGAACTTGTAAATGCTACTCGACACCAATTGTAGATTAAACTTTTGGTACATTTAAAGGATGCGTTTGCAACGTGGTTCTGTATGATTCAACTCGTCATTTAGTAAAATAGATCGTGTCCTAGAAACAAGAATGTGTATGGCTACATTTTACATTAGGGTGTCTTTGATTTAAAGCAGAAGCAAGTCGAAAACAGAACGGAATGAATAAAGTTTGCAGTTTAATACATTTAAGACATCTGTAAAACAACATACCAACATTCCCATCTCTACGAGCCGATCTCAACATACACTACCTTCTTATCAATTTGGGGTTATGTTCTTGTTTTTAGTTTTTATTATCCTTTCTAAATAAATCACCTTTTTATCTCGTAAATATGCGAACAGAAATAGCAGTACGTTGATTTAGATTTCCTTCATTCCCTTCCGTGAAGGTCAAGATTTTAAAGCATCAACCTTAAGATGTAGCTCTATAAATATAATAACAAAGGACTAAAACCGATCTCGTGAGTAGAAGTAAAAACAAAATGTGGAAGAACAAAAATAAATCAAAAGTAGCAAGCTTCTGTAAAAACAAATAAAAGACCCCCTTAAAGTTTTGTGCAAACGTTGGAGATGTCACGCATAAAAAACACCATACTTTTACAAGAAGACAACATCTTTCTAGGATTCCTGCCATCTTGCAAATAATGAAGAGTTGGAAAAGGATGACAAAATTTAGAAGTTAAATTTACAAAATAACAAATTCCAGTAATGGGGTCCATTCCATGGCGAGTTGTCAAAAGTGGATACCGTGACAGAAAGATATCTAAGACTTTTAGGGATCGACTCAGTATTGAAACTAGATGGCATAATAACGTGATTATATACTTCAATGACACGGACGTATTAACATTTGGAAATGAAGCCGTGAAAAGAGGAAAGTAGATTTCCGGAAATGGTATATGATTGATTAGAGAGACATTGTGTGGGGTTAAGGCGTCAGTGACAGACTACATGCTCGGTAGTTTCATCTGCCTTGCCACAGAACATGTACGTAGGCTCCTCCATGTTATGCAGGTGATGGACACTGATGATCTTCCTAATCTGGTTTCTATTAAGTTTTAGAAGCTTTGAAAGGGACCCTGTCTTGAGTCCGGTTTCTTGTTGCCATTGGAATTGACTGGTCACACAGTCTTTAACCCTGGCTGTGACAACGGACTCACAGGTAGCGAGTTCGAATCCCACAACTTGCCAGTTTTTAGTGATACACATTTCCAAGCTACCATGTAAATCTGGCGATGGCGGCAATCATACCACGACGGTCGTTAGATCACGCAGACGGCTGTTGATGCAATCTGAAAACATCTGTATCCCGGGATTGCCACCCATACGATAAAAAAACAAACAGAAAACAAGATCGGTTTCATAGTCAAAAGCGACATAAAGACAAGTTACCACGCCTAACTTCTACAACTTGGTACAATTACTATTTGCGAGGCAATGCATTTAATAGTAAGGTGGCGATAAGATCTGATCGTTACCAAAAAATGGATGGGAAAAATAGAACTTCCTTCCATTTTATTTTCGTAAAATTGATCTGAAAATCACGCGTAATTGCATTTACCCAAAATCGTCCTGAAACCTGCATTTTCTGCCGCTTGTCACTTTACTGGCCGTATCTTTGACATTGCTAAATGTCTATAATGACTCCTGTCATCACCGACAGATTGACATTAATCAAAAGTTCTATTATGAAAATTGAAATTTTATATTAAAATACGAGTTCAGGTAAAATTTAATACAAAACTCGTCAGTAAAATGACATTACTTAACTCGGAAATTAAAGTACTCGGCTCCAAAGGGGCCTCGTACTTCAATATTTCTATGCCAGTAATGTATCATTTTCCTGACTTTTATGTAAATAACTATTTTGGAACCTTCAATTTGAAGGACTTCATTACTTAAAATTGAAGGAAAAATTGACACGTTTAATTTAAGGTGATCTCGAGTACGTGTACAGAGGACTGCTCTAACAGCGATAAAAGGTTGTACACAGATATGAATGTCCTCACTCAACAAGGTATTTCAACAATAATAATCGACAATTATGCTTTGTTATGAACTTTCAGAATTGGGCATGACATCAAACGGTAGCTTGAACGAGCTTGATAAATTCGTTCTTTTTGTGTCTTATGTTTGAATAAATTGTCATAGAGCAATGCTCCCAGCGGGGAAAGCAAAGGGCA